AAAACGAGCATATCTTTAGAATTTCCGATACAGAGACTCACGCGCTGGAGATAAAAATGTTTTTTTTTCTGCACAACGTTGCCATTGCTCGCTTTGAAATCCTTGAGTTTGTTAATCAAAAATTCGTCAAAGTTTAAAAAATAGGAAATCGATCATAAAACAAATTTCAAATTTCAAATTTGGTCTTCCACATGCTCATATTCGTTGGAGGATTACGTTATTCAAAATTCGATGACTCTATGTACCGTTATTTTATGACAATGTGAGAAATATACATACATTTACGCAGATTTTCATTATTTAATTTCTTCAAATATAATGCAGGACTAAAACATTTTATGGCAACAGTTTGAAAAGTGAACCGACATTTATCCGTCCGACGCAAAATGCCAAAACGAAACTAATAGTCCTTCGGGATTCAAATCCCTTTGGACTAATAATAAGGGTTAAAGAAAAAGTTTGTACTTTAAAGGAAACGGTTAGTTGATATCAGCTATGAAAATAGAGAAATAATCTAAATACGAAAAATGTCATTGCATACTTTTTGTTATTTTAGGCATCAGTGATGGTTTAGGAGATGAAATCTCTCAGTGTCAGGACTTTTACTTTTCTTATATAAGAAACATCGCAAAATATTATATTTCTTATATAAGAAAAATAAAAATCAGATCAAGACATAAAGCAAACCATGCTTAGAAATCGTGACTTTCGTTTCGAGTTGTGTGCCATGGTTTGAAATTATGCAAGTATAAGAACTAAGCTGGAGTATGGATAAGTAGAATTTTCGAAAATAAATAATGCCTTCAATAGAGTCAGATTCGGAATCAACCACTAAACAGTTAAATTTTCTAACATTTACATCACAAGAGTGCATAAGTTGAATGTATTAATTCATTGCTTTAATCCTACCTGAAGCCCATCAAATCTCCAATCCGACAACTAAAATCTAGTGACAATCACCTATTTTTATAACTGGTATAGACGTGCAGCTGTTAACAGTCAGTGGTTCAGGCAGTCGTAAAAATAAATAATGTCCTTGTCCTGAATCGGGCACAGCATTTTCCGACAATTATTGAGTATGTTGACTTTTTTATCTGAAGAGCGCAGGGACAAAAAAAAAAAAAAAAAAAAAAAAAAAAAAAAAAAAAAAAAAAAAAAAAGCCTTAATTCTTTACGATATATTATTTAACATTTTAATAAAATTTGTTCTGGAGTAGATCTGATATATAAATTCTTCTACTGCCTCTTTGACTGAATTATTATTTTCTTCTATCCCTCACACATTTAATTATAAATATTTTTTGCAATTTTGAAACCATTAAATTTCTAACTGGGCACGGTAATTCTAACTCATATTTGAAGGGATTAGAGATCTCTAATCTAAGAAGATCTATTTTTTCATCTACGTTATTATCTTCAACTTTTTCATCTACAACATGAAACTAAGAAGAGATTCTCAAGAGCACGGTAATTTAAACTCAGATCTGGGCTGTCCGCAACAGACTTGTGTTCTTGTAGCTTGGGGAGAGTTTAAAATGTTCAAATGTTCTGTATATTTGTTGTCCTACTGTTTAAAGCTTATGGAAAGATGAAAAGAGCTCATTTCTCGGTTAATGACATTCTTATCTTTGGGTATATTTATTTGTTACGTTTCATCTGTGAATTTGCAACTTTATTTTATTTTTTGCTGTTCGGTTATAGTGTTTATTTTTTGCATATCTCTGAAAGCCTTGCATTTTAGAGACATTAGGTATTTTAGAGACGTTAGGTATTTTAGAAAAAAGGCTTTGTACAAATAAGGCTTTGTACAAAAAAGAATAGGTAGCGACAACATAATTAAATATGTTAACAATGTATATCGTTTCAGAATATACTTCTGATTTTTTGCTAATTAAAAGAATCTGTGCGGTCCTCCAAATTAGCAAATGTTTCAAAATAGCTCTCTTACATATAAGATTGAAATGTGATCTTGTAGCTCTCTTACATGCAAAATCAGGCAGCCTTTGATTTAAATAATGTTTCGCAAACGCAAATAAAAGCTGTGTTCTTAAGCATAGGATTCTGAGTCAAGTTCCTTAAACTCGACTTTATTACAGATAAGTTCGATTACATTTTTCGAAACTTCTTAAAAGTTTTTTTTTTTTTAGTTGCAATATGCATTTTATATTTGTAATCTGTCTTTCATCTGTTTATCATCAGTTTTTCATCTGTCTTTTATTTGTCTTCATCTGTTCAAACTGAATTTAACATATAAGATTGAAATGGGATCTTGTAGTTCTTTCCTTTAAGCGAATCAGGCTAATGAAAAAACTGCTTTTAATGGATTCGACTCGTTTTGATTCAGTGTGGGACAATTATTTTAACTGAAAGTTAAATTAAATTTAACAATGTTATATTCCCCTTCTGACTCATTTTACACAGATTCTCTCAGAAGAGATGGTTGTAGAAATTAAGGTACACTGACAGTTTCAATTATAACGAAATTTAGCTTCAGCGTATGCTCCATGGAGCAAGCAACTGCTTGCTGTTTGTAATATCTAGCACTGATTAGTTTGGAAAGAGTTAGTATTGGTAGAAGGCTCACCGGTTCCCGTTGTCACTCGAGTTTGATAAGTATTTACCTAAGTAATCACCTGAGAGTAAAACCAAATGTCTTATTAGGATTTGATTTTGATAATTTTAAGATTCAAGGGAGATCGCTTAAACGCTGTACAGCCATTAGGTTATTTTGAAGCAGGAGATGTGAAAAATGTGCAATGCCTTCGCCAGGACTCGAACCCTGGACCTTTTAAACACATGTCGAATACGCCTCCAATTACGCCTCGAAGGCATGACAAAATGCTTAAATGCTAATTGCTTATGCTTATATTAGCCCAGTTGGGCTTTAATAAGCTATATTGATCTAATCCCCTAAGGACAATCAGAATGTCAACTATCAGCTAGTTCCCAGCCAGGAAATCGGAGCGGGTAAGGAAAAGAGGGCCCATCGGCCATAGTGACAAAGTCCAATCATCAAAGTAACTTAACTCTTACCTCTGAGACAAGAGTAATAATCACGTGTATGGAGCTATGAAGATGCAAAAGAAATGAAAATACATGAAATGTGCATAGGATACAGTGTTGAACATGTAATAAACAAATGAAAGTGAAGTAATGTACGCATAAAAAAATGTGTTATTTACATATTTGAAAACGAGTAGGCTAAGTGACAAAATTGTGATCCCTCATTCTGTGAGCCGTGAAAGGCCTGATATTGTAGTCCTCAGGAATGCAGACATAGTTCAGTGCAGCATTAAAGTTTCCTTTACTGCAATTCAAGCCTTTGTCAAAGAACTTGCTGTTAAATTTTTGCAGATATTTGTCAATATATTCAACTTGTAAATCATCGTGCAGGAGTTTGTTACGGATGTAAAAAATGCGCTCCTGTCATGGTGCGTAAGATTGTGTTTTGAGTCACCCCTGCAATTTGTTGATATCTGAGCTCGTAGCAGTCGCCCAGACAGGGGACGCATAACACATAATTGGTCTTAAAATGGAAATAATATAAATCTGTCTTTTTCCTTCTCAGATCTAACTGCGAGCTGCGCCCTAGCAGTACTTGTAATTGTTGAGCAATTCCTCTGGTCTTGTTTGCAATGTAATTGACATGCGTACTCCACGTGAGTCTTCGATTCAAGTAAACACCTAAATACTTGGCCTTGTTTACCATCGGGACACGTTGGCCGAATAGGTAAAGTGGCTGAACTGAGACCAGTATTTTCTTCCTTCTAACAAGAAGTAGCTGTGATTTAGTCGCATTGATGGAAATCTTCCACCTGGAGCACCACTCCTCAATGTCCATAATTATATCCTGCATAACAGAAATTGCCCGCATGACAAAAGGAGGGCGAAAAACCTTATATACTCCCCTTTTAAAGGGCGACGGGGATCAGAGCACTCAATCGCCAAATTCTCGTGGTGAAGAATTATCGCCCATGATCTTTTAGCTCGGGCACCATATGTAGAGTTATTACGACTTCTGAAGTAGAAGACGAGAAAAATGTGCAATACCCTCGCCAAGATTCGAGCCCTGGGCCTCTCGAATACGCTTCAAGTATCCTTCGAATTACATCACGAAAACATGGTGAAGGGAGGGAGAAAATACATTATAATTTAAAAGTGAGTGTAGGTAAGTAATCAGCATTTTGGTTGTTAATTCTCGCTATTTACTGTAATCCATCAGAAGCAGACAAAAAAGTTTGTTGAATTTTACATATGTGTTTAAGTAAGTTGGCTATAATCAGTTCGCCGGCATTTTATGAAGCAACGTTTTCGAGGTACCATTAGGTGAGTCTTCTTTAAAAAACAGTTTTAGTTATAGAGTTACAAATGTAGGTGAAGCATTACGAGTATAATTAGTTGAGCGCAATCTGTTGCCACAAGTTTCACTTGAAAATAATCCTTTTAAGCCGTTACAAATTGTTAGAGGAACTGGGGATTGTGCAGAATTCGTAAATCGCGTAAACATATATGTAGACAAACAGACTGCAGAATAATAAAGTCGAAATTTTTAATGCTTATTGCACTCCTTTACATCTAGAAGCAGTTTATTAAATTATTTGTAATGAAAATACATTTAAAATTAAATGAGAGTCGTGGGGTTTAAGGAAACTTTCCCTCAACTAATTTGATCTCTCAGTCCGACGATGTGTTCCAGAGGGCTTTTAATTTGCTTGTTCCAGGGCTTACTCTAATTTCGCTCTTACAATTTAAATACTGCTCTTTATTTATGCACATTTCCTTGCGCACTTCGCCGGCATATTTCAACAACCTTTAATTAACCACTCCTTTCGTATCCGAACGTGCTCTTCAAGAGCTCTGAGAAGTGAGATGTTTCGGTCCTCCAAATTCGAAAGCAGCGCGAACGAATCGATGATCGTACGTGACGTCATGGTGCGGGAGATGTGACGTCACGAGGAAGAAGTTGTGAGCAACGCCGAAGCAGAGGAATTGTCGAAATCGTTTCAGCGTGCGTTGAAAAGTCGATCCAACGCCATGTGATCTAAGAGTAGAGTGTACGGAAACATTTTCAGGTGAATATCAGGCGGTCCCCATGCCGAAGAGGGCCGTTACTCCACCTGGGGGAAAGAAGGGACATCACGTCGACCAAGCTGGTACGTACACTTATTTTAGTGCATGTTTCTGATTGCACACCGTTCATAAACAAACATGGGCGACGTTGACTGGAAACGGCTACATTCTGCTACTAGCTTACCTCTAGGGTGTTACTGTGTTTTTCTTTTTTCCCACCTGAGTCGCTTAGGCCGAGATAAGGGTGGGTAGTGAGTTAACTCAACTTTTGAAGGTCATATCCCTAGTCAATACTTCAGGGAAGCGGTCGTAGAACTCCCCCTTTGGGTTTCCCGCGCTGCAGGTGTTGTATTTACGGGTGCGTGAAGTTTCGAAGAAGAAAGTGGAACAAAGAAATAGAGAAGTTTTCTTTTTAAATATCAGGCAGAATAAATACCATTAAAAAAATTCTCTTCTCGTTAAATAACTGTAATTTTTCTTAGCTAATTAACTTCAAATTCGTACTGACTTTATCTATTTTACGCATTGTTAAACATTTAACTAAACACATGTACTGCTTTGAAATACTTTTCTGTGGATGTATATTCGAATTTATACATGATAATATTTTCTGCTTTTGAAATTTATGAATGGCATTTTGATATTTAGGCAGAGACATTTCCTTAAATTTTGGAAATATTTTAATCAAGCGTTATTTGGTAATTTTATCATGGTAACATTATTTTCCTCAAGGAAAGTGTAAAGACAAATTTGAAAAGTTCTGGTTTTCATTCTTCCTCTTCTAAATATGAATTCGAACATTTTTCTTTAAATGTACTGCTTTTATCAAGATCTGATCTATCTAGTAGAAATAGTAAAAACAAATGGAAAATCTGTACATATCTCCTGTAAAAGTACTATTTAGGAATTATTTCACAATTTATTTTACGAAGAATGTTTTTAAATAATAGTACATTTTTGTGTAAGACAGAATATATTGAGTATATTTCTACTATGTGTAAACTGTTCTTTATCTGTTAAATATTTCAAATTTACTAAAATTATCTGTTAAAAAACCTTGCGATGAGCGGATAAAACTAAGTTGCTGCATTTGTTCATAGTAAACTTAAGGAACCTAAGCATCTTTTTCTTTAATTATATCTTTGTACGAGTATATTGGACCAAGAGCTACATGGTTGTTATGCTGATATATGCATCTGCTAAATAATGCACGAAACTATCTATCAACTCTTATTTTTTTAGCGTTTTCCTGCTGCTGATTATTAAAATCCTGGTTATCTAATACTGATAGTAATTTAATTTCTGAATGTCATTGATTAATAAATAGTTCAATTTGCTGGGCTTTAATTTGTGCTGTAATTTTGCTATCTTGTTTTGATTGTGCCGTTAAGGGAACTGTAACATAAATTCTTTATTACTTTCGAATAGTTTATTTCAAACATTTAATATTTCTCAAACTATGGTTCTTGAAGCTTGCCCTCATGGTCTTTCGAAATTTGCAAAAAAGGAAAAAAAGTTCAAATTATATACGTATACCATACAATAGCTGAAAAACTGAGTTCGAAAATTACGCAGGGCAATCATCTGCATTTTTCTTTTCAGGTCTTTTTTTTTTCATAAAATTCATACCGGTTACAGTACCTATGGACTTCCCTCTTTAGACGTAGCAACAAAATATGAATTTAAAGTACTATGAGTATGGTGCTTCTTACTAGCATATATCCAAACAAAATGAATCGGTAGGCTCAAAGGTGGTCTGCAGAACATTCTAATTTATAAAAGTGGTCTCCACTTGAGAAACAAATGGAAAAAACCCTGAGTTATTTAATTTATCTCCACGGAAACCGGAAATAATAAGCAATTGACAAGGATCTTAAAATCTTAGAAGCACAAGGATCTTCATATATCTGAGTTGTAATTGGGTAGGTTTATTATTAAGATCTTGTTAAGTCCTGAACATTTCTGAGATTTCTTACTGGAAAAGTGTTGAAACACATTAATATTATTCATCATTAAATGTTTTCGATTTTAGGGCTCTTGGAAAGAAGCTGAGAAATCTCTAGTCTAATTATATGGCTCTTTTCCGATAAAAATCCTAAGTATTTTTGATTAAAATATATGTAGACGGAAGTGAAATGCAGTTCTATTAGCAACCGTAAATATTCAAAACTTACATGTCACTTAAAATCTTTACAGCCATCTTAACAATAATTTATCTCTATAGCGTGACACATTAAATGAATAATGAGTAGAATAAGTATGTTTTTAAAGTCTTCGTATTTTTACTGCCGTTTTTGATTTTGATGTTTGGGAGAAATTTTCTTCCTGTTGCTGCTGTTTGGTCTGATAGTGACCTAGAGTGCAATGTTTGTGTACATTTGTAGGTTGTGTTGGGTTCGTTTCCCAGTAGCGGAATGAGCTCGGCTGCACAGGAATGTCATAGTTTTGTGCATGCTTTTATCGTGTTAAATTATGCGCTGTTCGATTTCACTATTTTTTTAAAAGGAGATTTCTTTTTATGATGCACATAGAGATAGAAACTGAAAGTTTGATTTGCATGCAAACTGCTGTAAATTCTTTCAACATGAAAATTATCACTTTAGTGTCAGATGTAGTACCTTTATTAATTCATAATGCATCTCCTCTATTTCTTTGTCTCAAACTATATGGATTCAAATAAAATTTCAAAACAGTCTTTAATATCTTCCTATTTTTCAATGCTAAGTAATCTTTGATCTGATGAATAGAAATTAAGTGCAAGAATTGGTAGTTGGAATTAAGAGCTACAGTGCAATAACTGCGTCTTAAAGTCTGTAGATTGGGAAAAAATATCTTAGTTTTATCTGCCTTTAAGTTTCATTGCAATTTTTAATCTCTATAAATTATCCTTTCTTTCTTTCTTTCTTTCTTTCTTTTTTTTTTTTTTTTTTTAAATGCAGAAAACCTTAAATATTTCAAAAGAATAAAACAGCAATATCCGACTCTTGTTCAGTATGGTGTTAGAAACATGCCTACTGCATTTGTATTTTACGTTCTGATGGAATTGTTTATTCCTATAATGTTGATAAATTTAAATTAACAGCAGGAAACTTGAATGCTTGGCGAAATGATTTCCGCTACCTACACGCTTTCATTTAAATTCAGAATATGTTTCTGGGAGATTGACAACCAGGAAGAGATCTGTTTAAGGAAACGAGTTAACTATGAATTCCGCGTTAAAGTCTTCTGCTTCAGCCTGTAGCATAAACTTTTTGATAAGTAGTCATACACAATATTCATGACCCGCTTATTGGTTTTATTTTATTCTATTTTTAACGATGTCTAATTAATTCCATTTGAATTTAGTCTGGCTTTGTACCATTTTCTACAAGAGTTAACTATTCTATTTGAAATCAATTAGTGTTATTTTATTTATTTTTTATGCAAAAGTGAATTATCCATTTACATTAGATCTCATTTTAATTCTACTTCCGTTGAAGAATAAATGATTATTTAATATGCCGTTTGTCAAACCGAAGATTCGCCTTCTGTTTTCAATCGACGGCTTGACTGATAGGATAGGAAGAAATGTGATATATCAAATGCTGTCAACTTTATACATAAACGCTTGCTTTAATATCAAACCGTTAATATAATTTTGTTACCATTAGTGCATTTAAATTAAAGAGTGCTCAAGAGTTGTTCAAGTGAGTTATTTTTATACAAGGGACATCCTCGGTATTACATAATCGGATCGGTAATGATGTATTGCGTAACATCAGTGTCATATGCAGCTAAGCAGAACCGTTGTATGGATCAGTTGCATATTGTTGGTTGTAGAGGTGAGGTTAGGTTAATATCTGGTTAGGTTAGATTTTTAAATTGTTGGTTCTAGATATGAGTGAATATCTGATTGGGTTAGGTTATTTGAATGTAGCAAGTATACAAGGGAAAATTGCACACAAAATCTTGGATCAATGTGTTGTTAGCTACAGAATTCTGCAGAATTAATATAACCATACCAACACGAAAAAGCTGCTTTAAAAAAAAAAAAAAAAAAAATATTATCCTCTGTGCCAAATAATAGTTACAAAAATGCCATTTATTATTACTGAGTATTTGAATATATGGCGTTTGCCAAATGACGGTCTCCCTGTGCCATACATTCTTCCAACCAGTATTAAGTTTCGCCAGTAAACATTATCAGAATATGCTGCAGACAAGCCTTTCTACAAAGATTAATTTCTTTTAATGATGCCGTCTTTCGACCACTCCTGTCCCTTGATCTAACATGTGATTATTTTTTCTCAAAATAAAGTGATACTACTTTACTTTTGCTCTCAACGTTTGGCGGGAATGTAGTTAAGAAATGTCCACTTTGCTATAAGCACCTCTGCCTTCTCGAAATTCGAATTCACTGCCAACGAATGGTACTATGGCAGGTGACTCTGCTACCGCAGGTGGTTAAAACGGCATCTAATGCTCCTAACTTTCTTAACATCTTAGCTTACCTAGTCTTACAAATGCTCAAATGATATATTGGCGTACAGCTGGGCAGCCCACTAGCGGCCGAGCGGTTAAGTTACTGAACACTGTCAGCTTAAGTTGGGCTTCATTCCAGGCGAACAGGCTGGCTGCAGGCGCGTTTTCGTGGTTTTCTCTATGAGTAGCATATATACGAGCCAGTATCCTTTAGAAAATCCTCCACCAAAGCATCCGACTCCATAAGCAGTAATAAAATAAACCAAACCGCCTAGGGTTATGCAAATTTGCGAATCCAAGTGTATATTTTATTAAAGTTTTAACTGTCTTCTATAATTAATTGAATACTATTAAAAGAGAGGGAAAATCTGTGGTTAATTGATGTTAATCTGTACAAGCGAATTTTTTTCAAGCCTAAAAAATATTCGAAGCACTGAATTTAATTAATTTCTGGATGGCGTTTACTAGAGTAAAGAGGATTTTCGATTTCACTCATATCTGATGACGCATCAGACAGATGATAAAAAGAACTGGGACATCTATACTTATTATTGCATTAATATAAAAAATTAATTACATTGATATCAAGTTTCGCAGGCATTGTGCTCTTCAAGAAGAATTA